CCCTTTGCCTCCCAGCTCTTTCCTCTATTTCCCTTGATTCTCCTCCTGTCGACCAGGGCTTCTTTGTTTGACACTAGAGCTCATGTTTTCTTCATAATACTGCATTTCCATAAAGTTTGGAAAGAAAAAATCTGAAAAGTAATTTGTAAGGATATGAAGTATCACATTTGACCATCACTTCTCTTCCTTTAAGGAACCTGTGGCACTGTCGGTGAGTGGTGACCTGGTAACCATAAGGTAGTTCAAACCCACAGCCACTCTGCTTCTGTGAAGATTCATACCCGGAGGGACCCTACACAGCGTTGCTGTGAGGCAGAATTGACTCTGTGGCTGTTGGTCAGTTTCTTTTTCTTTATTGAGGAAAAGGAAAGGTTTCCTTTTTCTGCAAAGCTAATTTGTTCTATCAGTTTTCACCCAAACTGTAAGTAAAACAAAACAAACAACAAGGGGCCCTTTCTTTGAAAAAAACTCATTGGCTAAATGATTTTTGACCAAAATTAATTTTGAACCAGAAAAAATCCAACAAAATTGACTTGAAATTTCTGCTCAGTTTTGAGATCATTTAGAAGGTGAAATTACAATGTTAGGTTTGTTCATTTATATAGCTTTACTACCCTGGAGCACAGGTTCCCAAACTTATTTGGCGTACTGTTCTGCTCCCTTTTCAGAAAAAAAACCCCAACAACAAAACGTACTCAGTGTCCCCCCAGGGCCCCCCTCACCCACCTCAGCAATGAAAAAAACTTGTACTCTAGCCCATAGCCCAGGATAAAGTGTAGGTATCTGCTTTTGCAGCCCTCTCTCGGATCATTCCAGGGCCCCTCCGAGCTGCTACTGCCCTCTGTGGCAAACGCTGCTCTAGAGGAAGAGCAGAGGCAGATTTTAGAGCTATAAACCGTACACGCACATAATTACATGCCTACTTTACACGCTAGGAATTTTCTGAAAACATTAGGTTTACCTGTGTGGTTTTCTTTTTTTTAATCTACATAATGATTTATGATATAAATCAAATTAAAAAAAAAAGCTGTACTTTTTTCTCTATTTCTGAAAATAAACCAAGGCTTAAGACTGGAGTTGTCATGGATAGTAAGCAAGTACTCAATAGCTTGTACTTTATAGTCTGTGGAGTTATTTATATGGTCCTATATGTAGTCATATCATCCTTTAAATACATTGTTATTTGTTTTAAAAACGTTGCTGTGTCAATTGTTCGTTGCTCCCCAGTGGATTCTAAGTCACAGAGACCAGTGGGTCCAGAGTGGAGAGAAGGGGCTCCCTCCGTAGGCTTTCACGCTGTGACATTGCAGGAGCAGGGCGCCAGGCCTGGCTGCTGGGATGTTGTTGGGTGGGCAAGATCATTCACCAGGCGGCTCGTAGTCAAGCACTTGACTGCGCCATCATGTTATCTTCTCATTAAAAAAGAAGTCTAAAATTGTTCAATTCCTGTAGCACATTTGGCAGGCAAGTTATATTAGAAAAACTGACCCGTAAGTCATTTTAAAATGAAGAAAAAAAATTTTGGACTGTGGATCTGATTTCCAAAAACATTTGTTAAAGAGGTATGGATAGCACTTCTTTATGTTTAACAATGCTACCATTTTATATTTAAATGTGATTTTTTTTTAGGAGTTACAGTAGGTGAAAGAGCCATTAGATATTAATGATCTCTATTTTGAAGTATGTGGTATAAATTTGCTCTGTAAATGTAAGGATTGGAAAACAGTTCATCTTCCTTGTATGCAATCATGATTTACTCATAATTTTGAAAATTGAATGCTTACAAAGTTTGGTTAAAAAGTTCAACTTGTAATACACATGCCTATGTGCTGCCCGTAGCAATTACAGGAATTTGTTCTTCATGGCAGAAATACTTTATTAGTTTCATTTATGAGAATGCAAAATACAGAGTTTCTATATGAGCTCTGGTGGGTAGTGATTATGTGTTTGGGTGCAATCCACATGGTTGGCAGTTTGAAACCACCAGCAGCTCTGAGGGAGAAGACTGGACTTTCTACTCCTGTGAACAGTTATAGTCTTGGAGACCGACAGGGTTGCTGTGAGTCGGCATTGACTCCATGGCGGTGAATTTGGTTATATGTAATATATAGATTTATTCCCCTCCCCTATATTTTTAGTTGATATGCTTGAAAGGGAAATTTAAAGCACTTGCCACCCCTCCCCCTTTCCTTTTTAGTTCTTGTAACTGGCTCATTGAGACGTATTTATCACCTGTAGTGTTATGAAGAAATGTCTAGGATTCCAGGGAGACTCGTAGAGACCCTGTGTACAATGGAAGGAAACACTGCCTGGGCCTGGATCATCCTCACAATGGCATGCTCACATTGCTCTTATGTTTCAGCCTGTTGTTGCATCCGCTCTGTCAGTCCATCTTGTTGAGGGTCTTCCTCCTCTTCCCCTCCCCACCATTTCTCTACCAAGCATGATATCCTTGTCTAGGGACTGGTCTCTTCTGAGAACACATCTAAAGTAGGTGAGGCAAAGTCTCACCATCTTCACCTCTAAGGAGCGTTATGGCTGCACTTATTACAAGACAGGTTTGTTTGTTCTTTTGCCATCCCATGGTACTTTTAATATTCTCCAACACCTAATTCTAGTGGAGTTGGGCTGCTAACCGCAAGGTCACCAGTTGGAACCCACCGACAGCTCGGCAGTTTAAAGATGAGGCTTTCTGCTCCTGTACTGATTTATGGCCTTGGAAACCCGAAGGAGCAGTTCTCTGCCCTCGAGGGTCACTGTGAGTCAGAACGGACTTGATGGCTGTCAGTTTAGGGTTTGAGTGTGACGATCGCCACAATGACTGAGGTGACTGGACCCATGTTCTGTCAACTGCTTGCAATGCATAGAAAAGTTTCCATCAACTTGTTTTTAATGGTAGATTATTTTTGGATGGTTAGTATTAATAAAAAAGTTGGGATTTAGTTTATTCACTTCACAAATCTGAGTGTATTTGATTTTGCTGGTCACTATAGCTAGCCTCTGAAACGTAGTTTTTTTTCTTTCTGCTACCTTTATTATCAGCAACATTTAATCCCCCATGATTATAGTTTTTAAAATGACAAGTGTAATATAACGTAAAGCCAAATAAAAATATAGCTCCCCAGTATGTGTATATGTATAAAATATTCTTTACATACATCTTAATATAAAATATTAATATACCTTACTTCTTGCTTTGAGTGATTAGAACTTTGGGAACAGTAAGTACTGATAAGAGATTATTAAACTTCTTTTCCTTTTGCTCATTATTAAGGAATTTGGCCTTGTCTAGCCATAACAATAAAGAGCCCTGGTGGCGTAGTGGCTAAGGCATTTTGCTGCCAACTCAAAGGCCAGTGGGTTGAAGCCGCCAGCTGCCCTGCTGGAGAAAAGATATGTCAGTCAGCTCCTGTACAGGTGGCAGACTAGGGCACGCTGGGGGGCAGCCCCGCCCCGCCCTGTAGGCTGAGTTGGAGTTGACTCAGCAGCATGCAACAACGTGGTAAACTTAACTTCTGTAGTTTTCCAGTAGCCCTCACACCCCCAAGTTCAAAAGCCCTCCTAAGTTGAAAACATCTGGTCCCACCTCAGAGATGCTGATTCAGTAAATTTACTGTGGAGATCAGAAATCTCCATTGTAAACTGTCATCTTGGGTATTTTGAGAAACAGGGAGCCAGAACACGCACATTTATTCGTATATATTAATTTTCTCAATTTAGAGGTAAAAACTTTTATTTTCTCTAATTTCTTAGACAAGCAGAGAGTACATCATAAAATGTGTCATTTGAAAATGTGGTTAAGTATACATGAATGAATACTTAGCATTATGCATCAGTAATTTTATTTAGTTTGAAGAGGGTTTGATATTGAATGTTATTTCATTTCAATATATGAGAAATATAAGCTATACCTATCTTATAGGTAGAAGTTATACTATTATTTATGTATGGTAGCAACAATAAAAAGGAGCCATAACTGTTTCTCTTGATGCTCTACAATAATATCTCTTTCTCAAAGGAGATAAGTTAAATCAGCATGTTAAGAAGAATTGTGTTTTAAATTTCCTTCACTCTGTATCACATACATCCTCCATCACAGTTCTGAGAAAAAGCTTTCAAGTGAATTTACAGAAATCACTAGGAATAGTACAAGTTTGGCTCAACTCGGTGTGAGGAGTCCATAGAAGTTCATGAGTTCATGGTGTGTTTTCTGGCTCCCTTCACCAAATTTGTCTTTTGTATCTTTTTGATATAATTTTATGAGTGAGAATTACTAATCTTTTGAAAGATAATAAATAGAACATACTTAACTTTTTTTCTCTGTTTCTGCTCTTTTAAAATTAGGAATCAAGTACTGGAAATGTTTGATCATGCTTATGGTAACTATATGGTAAGTAAAGAGCTTACTTTTATATGCCATATATATGAGTTGATTTGGGGGCACAGGGAGTTGGGAATTTTGAAACCTGAGTTAATAGCTTTTTTTTTTCATTTTAAGAAGTCTTCACTTGAAGGAAACAGTGTACATAAACTCACAGTATTCCTGTTATACTGGTTTCAGGGAATCCGTTTATTTAGTAGGTGAGAATACACTAACATTAAATTTTGAAACTTGAAAAGTTTCCTTTAATGTTTATATGGCTAGGTATTGTGGCTATAATAATGAATAAGAGCTTCTGACCTTAAGGGAAATAATTCTTCAAACTGAAGCAAAACAAATGCACAAGATTATTTTAAATATTTTGTGAAGAAACCAAAGGAGCCTTGGTGGCGTAAGGGTTAAGCACTGACTGCCAAGCAAGATCAGTCGTTAAAAGCCACCAGTCGATCCAAGGGAGAAGAGGCGAGGAAACCCTCTGGGACAGTTCTACTCTGTTTCGTACGGTCAGTAAGGGTCAGGATCAACTGACCGTCACACGGCAGTAACAACAGCCAGGAGGAAAACAATTGCATTATACAAGTGACAAGACTGTCACCCACCCCTTGCCCAACTTAGGTTCCAAAAGTAGATTTTGAGATGGAAATATATTTTGTTTTCTGAGTGTACTGCTCCATCTTGTTCTGAAGTGCTTCAGTGCTCAGGTGAAATAGCAAGCAAATTTGAGAGTTCAAAAGAAAGTTTTGCATGCAAATTTGTATAATTTGAGAGAGTTTAATTAAATTATTTTGATCATTCTTATAACTTTATTTTTGCTTCTTAAGACATATCAGTAGATTTTCTTTTATTTTTAGAGCCTACAAAATATGGTTGGGGAAAGTTTGGTAGAAAACTAACTTTAATTTATTCAGCTTTAAATAGTTTTCAAATTATTCTGGGGATCCGTTTTTTATTGTATGCTAACCAAAATAACTTTATATTAATGTCATTATCTTTATGAGTATTTTAGTGTATTGGCTATGTGCATTTTTAAACATTTTCTATATTTGATAATTCTTGTTCCCTTTTCTACACATTTTAAAAGCATGAATTGAGTTCTTAGTTAATGTTTTTAGAATTTGACAGTGATGAAGCTTTGGGTATTTTTAGTTCAATTGAAAATTTTTAATTGGAAGTTTAGTTTTAAACTCAAGAATCTCAAGACCCTAACCTTCACCTTAATATTTTTTTCAATTTCCTTAAACCCTGGTTGATTCCATTTGGGCAAATGATATGAGGGGGGGTACTCAAAGAACCACAAAAAAGCTCCAGTGGTGTGAATTTTTTGGGCTACATCCAGTGACGTTCTCTCTGGTCACAGTACAGTTTTTCATGAAAGCAGTTTTGCTTGAACCTTGTTTTTTTGTAATGGCTGACTAAAGAGAACAGCGTGCAGCTGTGAAATTGTGTTTCCTACTCAGGGGAAAATGCCTCAGAAACTGTTGTGATGTTGAGCATAGCTTACAAGGACAGTGCTGTGGGAAAAACTCAAGTGTACGAGTGGTTTTCTCATTTCAGAAAAGGTGAAATATCGATTGATGACATACCTCGTTCTGTATGTCCGTCATCTTCCTAAGTAGATAAAAATATCCACTCATAGTGTATTTGGAGTTCGTTCTACCAGATCAGACTGTTAATCAAGCTTTCTATTTAGAAGTTCTGAAAAGATTGCGTAACAGTATGTGACAAAAAAGACCTGTTTTTTTGCAAAAAACAGCATGCCTCTATTGTCCCATGCACCTTTCCCACCTGATCTCTCCCTGCGACTTCTTTTTGTTTCTGTCAATGAAGAGGGACATGAAAGGACAGTGATTTGACCACATAGAAGAAGTGAAGAAAGAAAAACAAGGGATGTGCTGTCAGGCAAAAAGAGGAGTTTGAAAAATGTGTCCAAAAATGGAATCACAGAGTTGACAAATGTGTTAAACATAATGGAGAGTACTTTGAAGGTGATAAGGTTGTTTTGTAAAAAAATTGAAATACATAGCTTTGAAAAAAATCTGGTTCTTTTTTTGGGTACCCCCTTGTAGTTTATCAGATCTGGGCTGATGTTTTTGAAATGGCCAAGTAGATGTATTCTACTTTCTCAAACCATATCTTATAGTTATCTCACAAATACATGTGGTTCCAAAGTCAAATACAGCGGTCCATACCTGGACCAGCTCCATTCCTCTTGCTCTGAGTAGAATACGATATTTACAAAACACAGCATCTTTATATCTTGCCGCTTAAAAGGGATAAACAGCAGAACATATTTTTACTACATATTTTTCCCCTATGATAGAGTATGCTTAATCACATAATGCATCCGTGGCAGCAGGTTCCTGGAGCACCCCTCATAGGTCTTCCGGCCCAGTTCCTTTTGGAATCTAACTGACTTACAGCTGCAGTTTACTATGTAGGAGAGCTAAGGGAGAAAGATTTCAGCTCCAAAGATTGGAAACCATAGAATTAGCATCCTCTCCTGTTTTCCTTTGAGGTCACACCCAACTGTTATCTACTGTAATGCATATTTTATAATGTTAACTATTTTACAATGTAAGTGACTCACACATACTTGTGCTAGCTTAATCTATGTGAAGTTTGTAGCCCAAGAGTTAGTGTAGAATTCACACTTCAAGTTCTTAATTAACATGACATAGTCCTCAAATATTAAGCAGAATCCAGGTGCCTTGTATTTCAACTACCAAAGGTCAGTTGAAAATGTTTTCTAGTTGCTATACACAGAAACACTATTGACTTGCTGTACAGTGAAGGTTTATTGGTTTTGAAGTTAGCTTGATATTTGTTTGCCCTGGTAGTGTCCTGGGTTACTTGGTGTGCTGCTAATTGCAAGGTCAGTAGTTCAAAACCACCAGTTTTTCCTTGGGAGAAAGATGAGGCTTTCTGCTCCCATAAAGATTTACACTCTGAAACCCAAGGGGCATTTAGCAACTCAGTAGTGTTTCTGTGCTATGGGGTTGCTATGAATTGGAATCAACTTAATGGCAGTGAGTTTATTTTTATATTTATCTCTACTGTTTATTAGCTTGGACCCTAACCCCATTATTTCACCTCTCTGAGCATTGCATCCTAGTGTAAAATAAGAATGACTTCAATGGGCAAAGATTCCTGGTGGCACAGCAGTTCAGCACTTAGCTGCTCACAGAAGGGTTGGTGGTTCAACCCCCCAGTGGCTCCTCAGGAGAAAGCCTTGAAAATCTGCTCCCCTAAAGCTTGTTAGAAAACTGTATAGGGCAACATGGCAGATGGAGAGTTCTGAGAGATTTTTAGTCAATTTTGGGGTGTAGAAATCCACTTCACTGTATAGTCAACTGCTTGGCTAAAATGTAAAATACTTGACGCATGATAGGCTTTAATAGGTATTCAAGGCTTTCCACATCTCTTTACTGGTTCTTTCTAACATTCTTGCGTCTAGTCTGTGACTAGAACAATTGCTTGTAACTTTCCTGGTTCCTTGGAAAACGATTGTGTTTTCCAAAACAGGCAATGGGATATAGTTAAGAGCAGAAATTCTGGAAATAGAGAACAGCCTGCACGGGGATTTCATGACTTGGCTCTCTTAGCAGTGAGGTGACAATGGAAAGTTACCTAATCTCCCTGAGCTCGCTTCCTTATGTCTGTGAAAGTAGATAGATAATGGTTTGCCTGTCTTCCACTTGTTGTAGGGACCAAATACGTCATTTAAGTTCATAGAACTAGTGCTTGGTAACTAGGAAAGACTGTAAGAGTTGATTCCTATTACTGCTAATGCCAGTATTGCTACTCGTTTTCTATTTGAGAATGAAATTGCCCTAGTTTCATGTAGGCTTCATTAGGACGCGTTTCCCAGGTTGTACATAGAAATTCATCAAAGTGTGGACATTTTTTCCTGTTCTGGTGTATGCCCTCTGAACTTTTTTTCTTTCTTATTTCTGAATTCAGAGTTTTTATTATTATTCATAGCACTGCATTGTCAGCTTTAGGTGAATCACTTCATCTCCATTCTTAGAGTTAGACAGATAGTGACTTTCTGATTTTATCAACCTCTGTATTGGCATAACTCTTAGCATTTTGACAACTGTGTTTGGCAGATTGGCCAATCTCTAGTTCCAATCAGACTGCACAAGTCACCCACAGTGAAGGGCACAGGTGGCTTTCTCTTCCCCAAATAACATGAAATGTGATGTTTGTTTTTGGCCTTTCTTGTGTGACCTTACTTAACCCAAGACCACAGCTACTTTAGACCCTCCTTTGGCATGTGTTCTTTATCTGTGCCGAGGTCAGTTTTCAGATCAGTTTGGAATGCAAAATGACAAGTATTTGGGCCACCTGGATACAGAACCTTCTTTTGATTTGAATCTGTGATCTTATCTTTGTCTCCCAATTTCTTCCTGTCTACTATAGACAACTCAAAATATACTAGTAAACAAAAACTGTACTTTAGTGGAGCGCTGCATATTAAAAATAAACTTGAATAGAGTTGGTAGGCATGATTTCCTTTAACTTCTAGGGTCATACCTAATAATCAAGTATAAACGTGGTTTTGTGACAGCACAGTTCAAATGAGACAGTTGTGGTGGCATGTCTTCTCGTCCATTCTGACTCTGTGATGCTGTAGGGCAGAGCAGAACTGCAGTTCTGGCCCCGCCCACCCAAAATAGGGTCTCCTCGGCTGTAAGTCTTTGTGGAGGCTCTCCAGATCTCCAAATAAGCAGGGGTTGGGTCTTTATTGTTTAAACCAAAGGAATTGTTTTAAAATAGAAGATCCTTTGGATTTCTAGATTTACATATTTTCTTAGTAAAACTTCTTTTCTCTTTTTAAATAGTTATTCATCAAAAGGAATAATTCTAAACAAAGTAGTGTAGAAGTGGGACAAATGGCTTTTATATATGACTCTGTGTAGACCTTATGGGAATGTCTACTTTGTGTTAGCCATTGTTCCTTGCCCTTTAAGAGCATGCTAAAACTCTGTCAAAATTGCATAAGAACT